TTCAAACTAGGTCTGTTTAACACCCTCCAAAGTTTTCAGAGTGATCGGAAACTTGACAACCGAACTTCAGACTCCTGAAAATGGTCAAAAATCGCCGAAAATCAACTGATATATCGTATTGAGAGGTGCTTTATGAAGGAGCTATTGGTTCAAAAAAAAATTGAAAAACCAATAAATAAGAGGAATCAAAAATTTATTGAGAGAGGACAAGTCGGTCAAACAAATGAGAAACCACAAGTGAAATATGATTTGATAAGAGGTTCATGAATATTATAAACGATTGTTCTTTTATCAAGGAACATTTCGCACCCATTATCAGTTTTAGGTAAGTCTGTCGGAAGCAGGGACATGGCTCGGGTCGTAAACCAACCCTTAGGAATATTCCCTGACCGACAGTTGTTTTGAAAAATGCCTGATGCGTCATTAGTTCATTTCTTGTCGATCTTCCTCATATAAATCAGACTCCGCCCCCATCCATTGCTAATTACTAATTTGGGTTTATAAGAAATACAATCTAACAAATTTTTCTACTGATTTACCACGACAATGTCGTGCTACCAACCATTGCTTTCAAATTTTCAAGAAGACAGAAGAAAATCTGCATTTACTTTTTTCAATGTGTTACTGACACTCTTTGAATTTTTCTTGTTCTTCTTATGGTTCTCAAAATATCAAGGACAGCATTCGGGTAAGGATAAGTTAACTTTCAGCCATTTTATCTCGATTCCTGTCAAAGATATTGAAAAGTTGTCAATTGATAAATTGTTTATCACAATATCAGGAGTATTTTGTCAGTTGACACATTTTTGATATCTTGCATAAGAATTGATATAATTGAGCTTATACTTTACGATAGCGAAGGCTTTCAAAGTTTGCTAATTCCAGATCATCTCGTCTTGGAACCGGCTTCTGAATTTATACCCAAGACGTCATATGATCCCTATCACGAGATTTCTCCGGAATTTGCAGAAACTACAACAGGCGCACCCAAGAATATTAGTGAGTGCAGTTTCCAGAAAATCTGGAAAGCTAGATTTCGTTATTTTCAGCAGCAGCCACCTTATTTCCAGCCAAGACAACCACATTCGATCCTTTGGAATCCCTACAGGCACCTGAATGTCAAAAAAGAATAGTTGGATACTATAACGGATGGGATAACCGAAAGTTGTCAGAAAATCAACTTCGAAAGGTTTCCCATCTAGTTTTCGCATTTGCAAAAATGTCCAAAAATGGAAAGGTGGATTTTGAGAATGAGGAAAAGAAATTGTTATTTTTGGAAATGAAGCGAAAAGCGAGGGAGGTGAATTCCGGAGTCAAAGTGATGATTTCAATTGGTGGATTGTATAATTCAGAGCATTTTTCCAATACTGTCGCAAATTTTAAAAGGAGAGGGTGAGATTTTTATAATGGGTTGGGAAAGTTTATTGTGTTCAGTGGGTGTGTAATGCCTTGATGTGAAATGCCGATTGAGCCATAATAATGAAAAATCTCAAAAGATATGCGGAAAATCGTAAATTTTTTATATGCCGTGAATGCTCTAAGTTCATCCGTCGTTCGTCCGTTCGGCACCGTAAATGCTCTGATAGACGCCCACATTATAAGTGCGCTTTGAGCTCAATTATCTCGGTTCCTGTGAGAGATATCAAAAAGTTGTGAACTGATGAAATATTGTAATATTATGATAAAAATTTCATTTGTTGACAAATTTTCAGTCTCTTTCAGAGGAACCGAGGTAATGGCGCGTTCAAAGTTGATTTCCAGGAGTAATTTCCCTGGAAAAACGCTGTCCAAAGCTGCCATTGTTTTCCAGAGGCCTCCGCTTCGAGACCCGCCGTAAATCGACATGAATCAACAGGAAGAACACAGTCAAAACGAGTGATACAGTAGTTTACTGTTGCTGTAAATCTTAGGAAATTACTCCTGGAAATCAACTTTGTACGCGGCATAATTGAATTCAAAGTTTATGGGTTGGATAAGCTTTTATTAGAGCAAATATCGCAAAAACCAATAGAGCAATCGGAAAGTTGTCAACTAACAAAATGGTATGCATGAAATTTGGGATCTTGAAAATTTTGAAATTTTAAAAAATCTTGAAGACTGATAGAGATATGCGCCTTTAAAGATGAATGTTCTGCTGAAATTCAAAATTAGAACGTTTGGAAATTTGAAACGTTCTAAATTACAAAAAACTGAAAATTCGGAAATCCCAATTCTAAAAATGTGAAATTCAAAATTTTGAAAAATCAAAATTCAAAAAGTTCTAAAGTTCGGAATTCCCAATTCTTAAAATATAAAATTCATGAATTCAGAAAAGTTGAAATTCAAAATTGTGAAAATTCAAAAATTCTATAATTCTAAAATTCTAAAAAATTCTAAAATTCTGAAATTCTGAAATTTCAGAAATTCAGGAATTCGGAAATTCTGAAATTTCAAAATCCCGTAATTCCTAAAATTTGGAAATTCAAAAATTCAAAAATTCAACAATTCAACAGTTCAAAAATTCAAAAATTTGATATTCTAAAGTTCTAAAATTCAGAGCTCTCATCGATTCCATTGTCTCCTTCCTTCAAGACAACGAATTCGACGGCGTTGACATCTTCTGGAAATGGCCAGGAATCCAAGACAAAGCCAATTACGTCTTCTTCCTTCGAGAGCTTCGTCACGCCCTTCAGAAGACCCGCGACCCCTTTATCCTCTCCATCGTCACCCCCTCGGTAGTAATTGAACTAATGGATGGATTTCATTTGAATGGAATTTTGAAATATGTGGATTTCATAAATGTAGAAACTGATCAACAATCCGGAAGACCTGGACCCTACACCTCCACCCCATCTCCATTATTCTCGCAAATTGGAAAATATGAAGAATATAATATCGATTGGACCATGAGACATTTGTCATGTGTCTCACGAAAACCAGGTCAACTAAATATGGGCGTCCCATTCTATGGAAGATTCTGGAAACGCGTCCAAGACGCTGTGGAAAAAAGGGATGAGATGTGGAGGACCGTTGAGACGTCTTCAGAAGGCCACGTGGCAAGTGGTACGGTATTCTGGAGGAATATGGAGAAGGAGGGATGGAGTAAAGAGGGGTCTTATTGGCACGAGGAATCAAAGACCCCATACATTTGGGATAAGGAGAATCGCATGTTTTTGGGATTTGAGAATGAGAAGAGTTTGGCGGAGAAAATGAAGTATGCGGCGGAGAAGAATCTGGGTGGTCTGACAATTTGGACAATGGAAATGGATGATGACGTGGAGGCGCTTCTGGAGGCAGTGACGTCGTCGTGCTTAGAAATGGAGGTGGATGCGGAAGAAGGATCAGGAGAGGAAGAAGACAAGAATGAAGTGAATTATAAATGCGAGAATTGAAAAGGTGTGTTATATAAAACTTTTTATATTTGAATGAACGATTTGAGAAGAAATTAACAAAAACAAGTTCAAAAACTCAGAAGAGTGGGAAACAAACGATATGCGGCTTGTCTAATTTCAAAGCGACTGAAAATTCAAATATGGGCGGAGCCTAGGTACGGTAACGGAATCTTTAAAGGCGCATTTTCGTAATAATGTTCTGCTTTTTTTAAAAGATTTTTTGATAATTTTCACTGCTTTTATGAGATTTTTTCCGATTTATCGGATTTTATGCTTCTGAAAAAATTCAGTATCATGAATTTTTAATTTTTAAAACCCGAAAAATCGCAAAAAGGGAATATTATCGAAAAAATCGAAAAAAAGTTTTTTGCGATTTCTCAGATTTTGAAATTCAAAAAAAAAAAATCAAAATTATGAATTTTTTAATTTTTTTTAATTTACAAAAATCCTATAAATCGCATAAACCCCATGAAAATTATCGAAAAATCACAAAAAAAAATCCAGAAAAAATTACGAAAAATGCTCCTTTAAAGGTGGTCTGCGGTGAAAATTTTTATTGTCTCAAAATGTGCAGAAAAGCATGTAGAATCCCATAAAAATAAAGAAAAGATTCCTTCGTCGAGAAAAAACGCATCGAAAAATAGCTTGAAAGCTTTTAGGGACGAGCTTTTTCACTTGTTTTTCTAGGCCAACCGCTGAGTAAAAGCGCGCGAATTCAAACTTTTAATTTTCTTTCCTTTGTTTTCACTGTTTTTTCAGGTTTTCCGAGGTACCTGGTAGGAAAATTAACTAAAGTTTTGAAAGAAACATAGAAAACAATGAAAACGAAAGAAAAACGTTTAAAAGTTTGAATTCGCGCGCTTTTCCTCACGGGTTGGTCTAGGAAAACAAGTGAAAAAACTCGTCCTTAAGGGCTTTCAAGCTATTTTTCGATGCGTTTTTCTCGACGAAAGAATTTTTTCTTTATTTTTATGGGAGTTTACATACTTTTCTGCACATTTTGAGACAATAAAAATTTTCACCGCAGACCACCTTTATGGTTTTCGCTACCGTACCTAAGCTCCACCCACCCTCAATTTTTCTACCGTTGGGAAAATTAGACCAATTAAAACAATCAAAAATTCAGAACAATAGGAAACAAACAATATTAAAAATTATTAATTATTACAAATTGTGCATTAGAAATTGAAAATTTCCAAATTATCCAACAAGCTGCGACCAAATATCCTGTGACATATCCAATTGAACTGTCTCATCAGCCGCCTTCTTCTGACTCGCTGCTGATTGATTCAAGATCGATCCGCCTAGTGATGTGTCATTTAAGGCATCGGATCCTTCGATTCCAGCACCACCGCCCGCCAGAATCGTCTCATTTCGATTGGCAACGAATGAAGCGGTGGTGTTCATTGTAGAAGACATTTCGAATTCTGTCAGTGGATCATCATGATCATCCGCGAAAGGATCAACCGATGCAGCAACCGAGGAAGCTCTGGATGATTGCTTATGAATAGATGAGATCTGGAATGAAATCACCGTAGTTGATGGTCTAACAAGCACCTGATGCGTTTTCTAGGTTATTTTTAAAATGGTGGCCTAACTTTCGCAAGTTCAGTTTTTTAAGACATTTCAGAATGATGGCCTAACTTGCAAAACGATTTTTCTAGGCCATCATAATAAATTCCTTGAAGCCCATTACTAAGCAAGTTTAACATGGTGGCCTAACTTTTGCAAATTGAGTTTTCTAGGCCACCGTGACAAATGGCCTAGAAATGGTTCGGTATTCATTTAGTATGATTTCTTGGCTATTCAACAAAGCGGCCTAGAAATCTCAATTTGTAAAAGTTAGGCACTATGGTAAATGATCTAGAAATGAACTAATATTTATCTGGTGCGTTTTCTAGCCTAATTTACTATGATGGCCTAACTTTTGCAAGTTTGGTTTTCTAGGCCGCCGTGTTAAATAGCCTTGAAAACACACCAGTGCATGTAAGTCCATTTCTAGGTCATTTACCGAGGTGGCCTAGAAATCTCAACATGCAAAATTTAGGCCATCATATCAAAAATTAGGCTTAAAATGACCTAGAAAGATGTCTTTCTCACCTCCAATCTCTCGTCCAGTGTGGATTCTCTGGATCTCTCCGGAGTTCCCAACTCTTCCAGCTTTATCGCTCGCTTCACAACCACGTGGAATCGCCCCTTCGGTGTCGGCGTCTCACTCACTCTCTTCTCATGCTCTTTCACATTCTCCAATCTCGAACGAATCTTGTCCAAATCTATTTTTTTCTCCTTCACCAGGGCTAAAAGTGCCGGCGGTGGATCCCAGCGTTTGTCGAGATTGTAGTCCTCGAAGACTACGGTAAACAGCGTGTCGAGTTGAATGACGAGTGCCTGGAAATTGGGAATA